GTCGTCGGCGTCGCCGTCCTTCCTCCTTCGTCGTCGTTCGCGTCGTCGCCGTCCTCCCTCCTCCCTCGTCGTTGTCGTCGTTGTCGCCGTCGTCGTCCTCCCTCCTCCCTCTTCGTCGTCGTCGTCGTCTTCGTTGGCGGCGTCGTTGTCGTCGTCGTCGTTGTCTTCGTCGTCGTCGGCGTCGGCGTCGTCGTCGTCGGCGTCGTCGTCGTCGGCGTTGTCATCGTCGTCGTCGTCGTCGGCGGCGTCGTCGTCGTCGTCGTCGGTGTCATCGTCGTCGTCGGCGAAGTCGTTGGAGACGTCGACGGTGTCGTCGTAGTCAGTGTCAGTGTCGGCGGCGCCGTCGTCGTCGTTGTCGCTGTCGTCGTCGGCGTCGGTGTCGTGGCCAAGTGCCATGTGGTACCTGCCGTCACGGCCTTGTCTTAACAGGTCTTGCGACCAAGTTGCGGGTGGGAGGGTGGGATGTTTGCACGAGCAGTGGTGAGGACAGCTTCAAGACGGCCTCCTTTCTAAAAAGAGAATAGAGTATCTGCCCCCCTTTCGGGTACGTAAATCATATATGAGTATGACCACATGTCCATCCGAAATATGAAGAAATATGAATTTTGACTATCCCAGCGGGGGCGGTATCGGCCCCCCTGAGGTCCCCTTGTATATATATGTATATAATAATAATAATAATAATAATAATAATAATGTTTTAAACAAAAAAAACAACAAAACAAAAAAAAAAAAAAAAAAACGCGGGGACCCCGTCTGTTCTAACATAAGACTTTGCCGCGAATCCCTCGCAATAAATGTGACGAAGTGCACACGCGCGCGTCGCCGCGCGCGCATGCCGAAATCCTCCAAAAAAGCTTCGGTGTCAGAAGGATGTCGCAATCGAGTTCCAAAAAAAAGGAAAACACAGGGTTTCGCAACACTGCCTTGCCAAAAAAGCTTACGCACGAGCTCTTGCGAAATCTTAAGAAGACCATAAATGGGTCTCAAGATTTTCACAAAATGCTACCAAACGGGCTTCGCGCGCCCATGTCGAAATCTGTCGAACGCCCTTGCGCGCGTGCCGTCGCGAGAATCCTCTGCAAAAAAACGGGACGAAGTGCAGACGCGCGCGTCGTCGCGCGCGTATGCCGAAATCCTTCAAAACCCATCGGTTTCGGAAGGATTTCAACATCGTGTGTCGAAAAAACCTACAACAACAAAAGGTTTCGCAACACGGATTTTCAACAAAGGCGTGCGCGCGCGCGCTCTTGCGTCGTCGTCGTCGTCGCCGTCCTCCCTCCTCCCGCGTCGTCGTCGTCGTCGCCTACGTCGTCCTCTGTCTTTCCTCATGTTCGTCGTCGTCGTCCTCTTTGGCGTCGTGGTCGTTGCCGTCGTCGTTCTCGCCGTGGTCGTCCTTCCTCCTCCTCCCCCGTCGCCGTCGTCGTCCGTCGTCGGCGTCTCGTCGTCGTCCCTCCTATTTCGTCGCCGTCGTCGTCGTCGTCGTTGTCGTCGTCGTCTTCCCTCCTCCCTCGTCGTTGTCGTCGTCGGCGTCGCCGTCCTTCCTCCTTCTTCGTCGTTCGCGTCGTCGCCGTCCTCCGGCGTCCTCCCTCCTCCCTCGTCGTTGTCGTCGTTGTTGTCGATGTCGCCGTCGTCGTCCTCCCTCCTCCCTCGTCGTCGTCTTCGTTGGCGACGTCGTCGTCGTCTTCGTCGTCGCCGTCGGCGTCGGCGTCGTCGTCGTCTTCGTCGTCGTCGACGTCGGTGTCGTCGTCGTCGCTGCCGTCGTCGTCGTCGTCGGCGTCGTTGACGTCGTCATCGTCGTCGGTGTCGTCGTTGTCGTCGTCGGAGGTTCAAGTAGCGCGAGAACGCTTGATGGCGCTCCGCCCAGGAAGCCAGCGCCACCGCCCTCTTAAACGCAGCTTGTGACTCGTACGCGTTCGGGTCGAGGGGGGGTCGCGGGACGCGCGCGGGGGCCGCCGCGGACGCCTTAGTGGCCCCCGCCGCGAACCCTACCAGCGTGTAGACAACGTCCCGCGCCCATGCGGCGGCGTCTAAGAGCATGCGGCGTTCCCGTCTGGAGGCGCCGCCGCCACTCCATGGCGGGCGCAACCAAATGCACGCAATGAGGCTCTCACCCGCATGAGCCAATGCAGCCAGAACCGGCGCGACAGCGAGCAGCGCGTCATCCCACTGGCTATCCGTGCGCCAGCCAACGCGGGACAGGCCCGCGAGGTGTGGCATGCGAAACGAGCAAGGCACAGAGCACGCCACTAAGCGATGGTCGGAGTCAACCCCGCTCGCATGGGCAACCGAGACGGGACGAATTGAATGCTCATCAGTAAGGACGGGGTCAATGCACGTGCCAGAGTCATGCGTCGGAACTGGGGGGGTGAACGCCACGAGGCCAGCCGCGGAAATCATGGCTTCTATCGTGCGATCCGAGGCCGGCTGGCGGCAATGCAGGCAAGTGCATTCATGGGGGTGTTCGAACACGTATGACAAGTGAACATTGCCGTCTCCGCAAAAGGACGCGCGCGCCCGGGTGGCGCGCGCGCTCCGAGGACACTGAAGAGATAATGCCGCTCCACGTTGCAACGTCCCCGCGCCCGGGGCTGGGTAGCACGCGCAGAACACGAAACACGGGCCGCGGGCCTCCCCTGAAACAGAGGCGCCACCCCAAAACTCGAACCACCGCACGCGATCAGAAGAAAGCTCGGGGACAAGGCGGAGGAGCTGGGCCAACTCGCACCGCACAAAAACACCTACCGCGCCCCAGAACACAGCGTGGCCCCATCTACGCATACGGAAAGCCAGGAGGCAACACTGCCCCGGGCGGCATGCGCGCGCCTGGTATCGCACAGATGTCGGCGCCGGAGTCGGACAGAACTTGGGCGACAGCGTGCAAGCGCCACTCTAGCATCACATCAGTACCCAGAGCAAGGAAGCCTAGGCGCCCCGGGTTAAGGACGGCCACGCAGACCGCATCTCGGGACCCAAGCTGGGCAGGGGCAGGCGGCTGCTGGCAAACCCCAGCACAGAGGCCCCCAGCGTATGGCGAGACCACAGGGCGCGGCGGCCGAGACAAAACAAGGCGCTCAAGCGAGGGCGCCACCTCCCTGCGCACTAACGATGAGAGCGCGTGGACCAAGGCAGCCAACGGGGCAGCCGCGCCGTCACATCCCAGCAGGAGAGGGGGTGGGAGAGAAGGGCAGATGTCCAAGAGAGCTCCGCAATCTTTCGCACATGCTGACAACTCCAGGCTACGGCTCTCTGTCCCCAGCCACCGCAATACAAGATCGCGGAGTGGTGCCATTGGGCACGCAAGCCCTCGGGCCTCCATAGCTGACAGCGCGCCTCCTCTGGCTGCAGACTCGGCCCCGGGCGGCCGGGCGCGATTCCGAGGGGGTGTCCGGCAGAACTTGAGCCCTCTCGCCTTGAGCCAAAATGGCTACGGCCGAATTGCGTTGCCCATAATTCGGTTTCCCAGAATTCGAATTCCGAAATATGGGGAGCGCAATGTCCTCTTGAAAAACAGCACTCAATGGGCCAGAATTGCGTTCCCCATAATTCCGAATTATGGGAAACGCAATTCTGGCCCATTGAGTGCGGTTTTTCCCAGGAAATTGCATTGCCCATAATTCGGTTTCCCAGGATTCGAATTCCGAATTATGGGAAACGCAACTTCCCTCGAAAAACGAAACTCAATGAGCCAGAAGTGCGTTCCCCACAATTCCGAATTATGGGAAACGCAATTCTGGCCCATAGGGTGCGGTTGTTCAAGGGAAATTGAATCAAAAAACCGTACTCAATGAACCGGAACTGCGTTTCCCATAATGTTTCATTATGGGAAACGCAATCCCGGACGACTGCCTAAGGAGAAACAAGGTGGGCGGGAGCCGAAACCTACTCCGCCGCAGGCGGATAAGATGTTGTAGGATTCTACGGGGGGGAAAGGTCTCGTTGACGGAAATTGTCAAAATTTGGGTAACAGCTGCTTTGCATCCAAAAGCCACTGGTATACCTAAACCTAAAAGCCCCCCTCCCCCTCCCAAACAAGTACAAATTAACTGACAAAAACGAAGGCGTCAAGAAGCTGAATCACGAACGGATTCGGTTTGGGCGCTCCATGTGGGGCGACTTTGACACATGCAGCTGAGGAAAAGAAGGTGGTGCAGGCAAGGTAATACGTCGGTGAAACCAACTCTGACTTAGCAAGCGCAGAGGCCGTTGCAGATGCAAGAGCCGGTGTGAAAAGTGCCATACAATCCAATCCGTATGCTCCTCCTCCTCCTCCTCTTCCTCCTCCTCCTCCTCCTCCTCCTCCTCACCCTCCTTCCCTCAAGATCTGGTTCCTCCTCCTCCTCCTCCTCCTCAAAATCCTCTTTCTCCTCCTCCTCCTCCTCCTCCTCCTCCCCCTCCTCCTCCCTCCTCCTCAATTGGCCATGCCTTTGCAGCTTCACCTGCACGAATCCCGAATCGCGTTTGGACAAATGATGGCGGCAACCAGTTGCGGGGCCGCCCCTGCCTGCGGAAGCCCCGCCGAGGCCCCCCAAAGAACGTCGCGTCGGGAGGCCACCTGGGGGCTCCGAGAGCCGCTGGGGACCCCATAGAGGGTCCTGGAGGCCCCTGCAGCCTTCCCAGATCTCCGACCATCTGATGTTTCTAAGTTCCCTGCGTTGTTCCTCGATCTCGGCCTTCGGGGCCCGATCTAAGGCCCCAGGGCCATCAGAAATGCATCCAAAACCACCTTTAGGGAAGGGGTCGGGACCTCTAGGGCCGCGCATTGGAAAAGTAAGATCGTCGGATGTCTGAGACCTTCTGCACAGGCGGATTTAGCACGATCCCTTTTGAGGTCCCTGGATGTTCCTTGTGGTGCTCTTGCACACTGGGAGACGGCGGAACACGCCGTGAGAAAATGGCGCGCAGCAGGCAGGGGAGAGGAGATATGAAAACATCCCAGATGAACGTGCGACTGCAAGGGCAAGAAGGACCCCGCCAGCCCCCCCAGAGAAAATTGCCGCCTTGGAGCCTGGTATCATGGCGTCGACGGTGGCGTTCTCATCGTCCAAATTTTGGCCGATGATCTCCACGCCCGCCTCCGTATCCGCCCAGGGCGGAGAGCGGAGGGGAGCTGACTTGGAACAAGCCGGACCAGAATAGGCGGTGATGGGACGGGCCAGAATGGGATAGGTTCGGATGGGAGACGGAATTTGATCGGGCACAATGCGCTGGGGTGCCATGGCGTTGCATTGGCAGAGCTAGCAAGGCGGCACCAGGGCACTGGGTGGGTACGGGCGGCGGCAGGGTCGGCAGAACAAGCTGGAGGGGAAGCACGGAGTGCAGCGGTGGCGAATGGTGAGTGGTGGATGGACGTCTAACGGTGCGTGGTGGATGCCCAGTGGTGGGCGGTGGAAATCCACCGCTGTGGATGGGTGGGTTGCGGTGTTGAGCTATGCGTTGTGAGGGGAGGGTGGCTTAAGGTGGTCAAAGTCGGTGTGGGTGGTGAATTGTACGTGTAGGTTTTGGGCTGATGGCCTGGTGTGACTGCATGTGGCTATGTAGGTGAGTGTGAGTGGCTGTAGGTGGGTTGACAGTAGGTGGGTGGGTGGATGTGGTGCTGGCGGTCGTGATGATGGCGGTGGCCGTGGCGGTTGGCATGAGCTGGGCAAGGATGAGAGGACAGTGTGAGATGCGGTGGCTGGGTGATGATACCAGCGATGGCAGGGTAGCAGTGGCTGGTGGTAATGTTGGAATGGTGGCGGTGGTGGCCGCGTTGGCAATGGTGATTGTTGCAGGTGTAGGGGTGACAGGCCGATACTAGGACATGGGTGACGCGGAAAGGGATAGGGCGGGTTGGGTGGGATAGTTTGGTGGGTGGGGGTGGGGTGGGGGTGGGTGGGGTGGGGGTGCGGTAGGGGTGCGGTAGGGTGTGGAAAGGTTGGGCGAGGTGAGGGGGGGTTGTCGGACATGGAGCGTTGGATGTTGGGGCTGCGGTGTGAGGTGTTTCGCGCGGGGTGTGGAGTGAGGGGCACTGGGCGTGGACTGTGGGCTTCTGGCTGCGAGCTGTGGCTTGTGCAGTGCGGGGTTTGGGGCGTGGAGTTGGGGCCGAGATGTAAGTATGATGTACTCGGTGTGGGGCATGGGATGCGAAGTGTGGAAGGTGGGTTCAGCGTCGAGAGGGGAGGGGGGGCGACGCAAGATCGGGGGAGGCGACACAAGGCTGAGGGGCAGAGTGTAGTGGACTGCAGCTTAGCAGAGCGTCCTCCGGAATGGCATGGCGGAGAGGATGGAAGGGGAGTGGCAGCGGAGTAGGCTGGAGTGAGAGTTGGAGGGTAGAGGCACGAGAGCCCTGAGTTCACCCCCCCCTCCCCCTCCTCCTCCTCCTCCTCCTCCTCCTCCTCCTCCTCCTCCTCCTCCTCCTCCTCCTCCGGCCATCGCCTCCCTCCCTCGGAAAGTGGGGGCGGGAGGGCGGTGGCACGGGTGGAGGGGCGCAGGAAAGGGGAGCGCGGCGAGAGCGGCGGGCGAAGGCCGGATGGCCGACGCCCAACAGGACGTCAATACGGCGATCGCGCTTCGATGATGACGACGTTGACGATGACGATGACGATGACGATGACGATGGCGATGGCGATGGCGATGGCGATGTCATCATCGTCATCGACATCGTCATCGTCCCCTTCCCAAGCGCGGGTGGACCTTACTGTCAACGCATGTCAGTCCTGCCGCCTGCTCGCCGTGCTCGCTGCGTGTGCCAGTTAACGCAGCATCGGAGGCCGCACGACGTCGGAGGAGGCCAGAGGGATAGAGGGGGAGGGAAGAAACTGGGGATGGGGAAAGCGGAGGGGGAGAGAGGGGAGGGGAGGCGAGAGGGGAGGGGGGTAGAGGATGCCACCAGCACTAGGCAGACAGGCAGTCAGGCAGAGGCACCTACGGTACGGCCAGTGGCGCAGAGGCTTGGGGCGTCGGCGTCGACAACAGCTGCGACTGCGGAAACTCCTCGGAGGCGCCTTGAAGCTGGAAGCGGTATGGACTCGCTGGGCACTGCCCGAGTGGGTCGAAGTCGGAGGGCTACCATGTCACGGCTTGCACAGTCTTGTCGAGGGTGGTGCCGAAGCGATCCTCGATCCGACTCCGCACTTGTGTGCCCGTTCTTGACCTCGGCGGGCACGGAGACAGGCCGACCACTCGTCGGCAAAGCTGGCCTCTGCTCGTAAAAGAACGGATGTGAAAGCCGAGATGCTAAGGTGTAGCACCAGTGCGCTGCAGCTGGGCGCTGTAACTGGGATGGACGCCAGCGGCCAAAACGAGCAAACGAAACTGAGAGCGAGAAAAAGAAAGAGAGAGAGAGAGAGAGAGACAGAGAAAACCCAACCTCCTCGTGTCGTGAAAACATAACAGGTCACAGCTACAGGTTCTGCCCATCTTCGTCCACCCTCTCGAGGCACGTACCGGGCCCCGACACCGCCAGAAACAGACTGCAGACGAAAAGCCGGTCCACGTGACGGGGTCAGGACCTCCTGGGGCCCACGCCGTGAAAAGATGAGCCACGGGGGGGGCGTGTGCACCGCTCCTGGGCCCAGGATGGGCCTGGCCAGCGGCGGTGAACACGTATCGATCTCGTCCGTGGAAGAAGCACGGCGTCGGAGGTCCAGGGAGAAAGGCCAGCGCGCATCGCAAGGCCTCGCGGCTGAAGGCCGCGGGCACCGCGGCGGCGGCGGAGGAGGCTGAGCAGGCGGTCCCCAGGCGTCAACGTGCCGAGCCACTGCCCGCCCCACGCCCGCGGAGCGGAGCGACACGCCATCCGCTCGCGTGGCCTAGCGTGTCGCCGGGGCCGCCGCCGCGAGACGCTAAGCAAAGGTTCCCGACCGCAGGCCCAGCGAGACTGGAAGGTTGGCCAGCTGACCCAGCGGGGGAGGGGGGGGCAGAAGTCGGGCAGAAGTCGGGCAGGAAGAGGCCAAAGCACTGAAAGAGCCCTGACAAGTAAAGGCCATAGCGGCCACTGCAGGTGCCAGAAGCCCGCGGATCTGCAGGAGCCCGCCCAACGGGAGTGCCCGTCGCATGCGCATGCGCTTGAAAAGTCAAGTCGGACGTGGCGCACATGAGTCGCAAGGGGACGAGGGAAAAGGGGAAAGGAGGAGAAGCTCGGCTATACGTAAGAGTAACCCTAGGCGCGGCGTCAGGGGGCGCGGGGGGGGTCCAAACCCAAGCGAGCAAACCGTTACTATCGCATCGCAGTCAACGATAGGGGGACCGGCCCACACCAACGGTCACCCAGGCGAAGGGTCACTCATACGTGTAACCGAGAAGCGCACACAGAGCCTGGTGGCCAGGCTCGCCACAGAACGAGAGGCCCTCAGTGCTCGTCGCCTAAGGCCCTCACATCACGTGGGTGACAGGGTCGAGCGCCATTTCCCGCAGTGCTGCTCAATGCCGTACTACCGCAGTCCAGGGTGTCGCCCAGTGACGTGGTGCACGGCGCCTTCCGAGTCCCACTCGAGGATTTCAGAATCCTGCCGCTGCTTGCCGTCGCGGCGCACAGCGTCATGTCATGCTACTGGTCACCGTCGCGAGGAGAGCGCCGTGCACCAGAGTGAGAGCTGGGCGCAGTCTCCTCTGGCCCCCCCTCAAGGAGGAGGAGAAGGAGGAGGAGGAGGACAAGGAGGAGGAGGAGGATCCGCCGGCCCCCTTGTGGGGCCACCAGGCTGCGAGGCGCGTGATTCGCAGTTTCCTGTACCAGTTGTAGTTTGTAGTTTCCAGTGTTACAATTCTGCTTCTTGCTGGTTACTGTAACTAGTTGACTGATTGCTGGTTACTGTAACTAGTTGATTGACCGCGCGAGGGGGGGGGAGGCCCAAACAAGACTTTTAGCCTCACCTGGGCGCGTTGTCTGAATTGCTGGGGGGGCTCGAAATCGACACCCCTCACGCAGATCCGCGGGGTCAGGGTCCAAAAACACATGGGATTTGCCACATTTCTGAAATTCGGTGCCACCCCTCACGCAGATCCGCGGGGTCAGGGTCCAAAAACACATGGGATTTGCCACATTTCTGAAATTCGGTGCCACCCCTCACGCAGATCCGCGGGGTCAGGGTCCAAAAACACATGGGATTTGCCACATTTCTGAAATTCGGTGCCACCCCTCACGCAGATCCGCGGGGTCAGGGTCCAAAAACACATGGGATTTGCCACATTTCTGAAATTCGGTGCCACCCCTCACGCAGATCCGCGGGGTCAGGGTCCAAAAACACAAGGGATTTGGATTTTTTTGCCACATTTCTGAAATTCGGTGCCACCCCTCACGCAGATCCGCGGGGTCAGGGTCCAAAAACACATGGGATTTGCCACATTTCTGAAATTCGGTGCCACCCCTCACGCAGATCCGCGGGGTCAGGGTCCAAAAACACATGGGATTTGCCACATTTCTGAAATTCGGTGCCACCCCTCACGCAGATCCGCGGGGTCAGGGTCCAAAAACACATGGGATTTGCCACATTTCTGAAATTCGGTGCCACCCCTCACGCAGATCCGCGGGGTCAGGGTCCAAAAACACAGGGGATTTGCCACATTTCTGAAATTCGGTGCCACCCCTCACGCAGATCCGCGGGGTCAGGGTCCAAAAACACAGGGGATTTGCCACATTTCTGAAATTCGGTGCCACCCCTCACGCACATCCATCGCAAGGCGTGGTAACCCAAACTGCGAGTACTCCCTCGGCCCTTTAATCCCAAGGTGTGGTAACCAAGCTCGTAAACCATACACGTCTTACCAATCGCCCTGTGTGGTAACCCCTCTTGTGATCAGTTGGTTTTGCCGATTGCGAATCGGCCTCGCATGAAGTTCCGATACTGCTGCACGACAGCGCCAAAGCCTCATGACTTAGCTCTTCCATGGCCCATTCTCCGAGAGAGGGGGCCGGCGGCAGGGGGCGAAGCCCTTACGGATAACAAGGAGGAGGAGGAGGAGGAGGAGGAGGAGGACAAGGAGGAGGAGGAGGAGGAGGAGGAGGCAAGCAACGGCCGCACAGTCGGCACGAGCTCCACAGCGCTGGCGCACGCTGCCCCGAAGCGCCCGGCATCCTCTGGAAGAACCCGCGCGGGCAGGCGAAGCATCTTGCAGGGGATCCAGTCTCGAGACAAGCGGCAGTCACGGCGACAGAACATCGTCGGTCCAGGGTTCTGCCCCGCTCGGGAGATCAGGATGGCCTGCGTGGCAGCGGGGTGACGCCGAAGCACTTAGGCATCCATGGTTGTGGCTCGCCAGGCTTGCCGGCAAAGGCACATGGCACAGCAGCGGTCCTCGTGCGAAAGGTCAGCGCCCAGCGGACGCGAAACTGTGCATGCTGCACCACCGACACGCTGGTGAAGCTTGATAGCACAGATTGTCAATGACGGACGCGGTCGGTACCAACCCCTTGTCTTGAGCGCAGACACTGCGAGCAAATTAACGTTAGGGCGATGACCTTGCACATCGCCGCGAGCAGACATGACCACCACGCTATCCAGCGTGCAACGAAATCAGGCTAACACTGGGCTTCAAAAAAGGCGACGGAGTTCAGGAGGAGGACAACGAAGGAAACGATTGGGACGACGATGACGAGGACGAAGACGAACTCGAGGACGAGGATAAATAATAAATGAACCAGAAAGGATGAGGAGCAGCAGCAGCAGCAGCACGAGCTGAGGCACGGAAATGAAGCAGGCCTCCCCGAAGCCCAGCGCCAACAGTGAGCCCAGCTTGATGATGGCCTTTGCAGCACTTGTTCAAAAATCGCTGACACAAATTTTCAATCGGAATATCTCACAGCAGACCACCATGCGAACTTGCGCAACTGCGAACAGGCCTTCGAGCAGCTGAAAGAAGTACCAAACTCGCAGGCACACTGCACCCATTGTGGTGGCCATCAAGTAGAAGCACCAAAACGCTTCCAGCTCGGGAAGAATCTTCTCTCCTGCCTCCCCCGGTCATTATTTCTCTCCCTCGCTGCGCCCTTGATTCCCCGACTTTCGACCCCCGCCCCAACAGTGTCCTCAATCCCCTTCTGCCCTATCCATTATCTTCTCAGTGTGTGTCCCTGCCCGTGCCGATGAATATGTACGAAATCCCCCCGCCAGGCCATCCAGAATGCGACGTCGCTAGTGCAAAGGAAAACAACCTGGGTGGCCTACCGTGGACGAGCCTCCGTGGGCGAACAACTCGGACTGGGAGCAGCCTCGAGGCTCCCAAGCCTCGAATGTCGAGGCCTGGCCCGAGCCTCTCGTGCGGGAGCCTCCAGCCCCTTGACCGGAGGCCGAGACGTCCGAGCGCAGGCCGAGACGTCCGAGCGCCCAGAGGTTCACGGGGGGGTCGGTGGAACGCCTCCTTGGAGCCCGTTTTCCTAGGACTCGCGGCGACTCCCGTGACCAGCCCCGCCCCCCCCCCTCCTCCCCCTACTCCCCTCTTCGCTCCTCGCTCCTCGCTCCTCGCTCCTCGCTCCTCCTCCTCCTCCTCCACCACTCCACTCCACTCCACTCCACTCCACTCCACTCCCCTCCCCTCCCCCCCTCCCCTCCCCTCCCTCCCCTCCCCTCCCCTCCCCTCCCCTCCCCTCCCCTCCCCTCCCTCCTCCTCCTCCTCCTCCTCCTCCTCCTCCTCCTCCTCCTCCTCCTCCTCCTCCTCCACTCCCTCCCTCCCTTCGCCACGGCCCCAGGGGTTCCCAGAAGGGACTGGCACCCCCGAGCGGGACCCCTGGGGCGGCCGGAATGATCGATCCGATCGCTCCCTCGCGCCCGCATTCGGCGAGGGGCCCCACATGAATTATCGATTGCTTACTTACTGGGAGGAAAAGGAGGGGGAGGAGGAAGGGACGGCCGCGCAAAAGGCGCAGCGGCAGGGGCGGCCCGGCAGGGGAAGAGGAGGGAAGGGGAAGGGAGAGGGGGACGGCGGGGTGGAGGAGGTCGTCGGCGCGGTCATGGTGGTCGTGTTGGTGGTGATCGAGGTGGTCGTGGTGGTCGTGCTGGTGGTGGTCGTGGTGGCCGTGATGGTGGTGGTCGTGGTGGCTGGTAATTGTGGTACTGCTGTGGTGGTCGTGCTGGTGGTGGTGATACTGGTAGTCAGTCAGCTGGCTGCTGCGGTGGCCGTACTGGCGGCGGTGGTCCTGAAAGTCGGCCGGGCTGGTAGTGATCGTGCTGGTGGTTGGTCACGTGGTGGTGGTGGTGGTGGTGGTGGTGGTGGTGGTGGTGGTGGTGGTGGTGGTGGTGGTGGTGGTGGTGGTGGTGGTGGTGGTGGTGGTCGGCACCTATCTCCCCAGGGCGCTCAGGATCATCTCCGTGCTCCCTTGTTGTAGGGTGCGTGAGATGTCCCGCCTGATCTGGCTTAAGAGCTCGGACCGGTCGGCATCCGCAAGAGAGGCGCCGTAGCTCCGAACGAAGCTTACGGCCTCGTCGGACGGCAGCCCCCCGGTCTCGAAGACCATCGGGACGAGGTCTAGGCCCTCCCGGGGGGGTACCGGCCGTGTTTGTCGTCGACCATCTGGGCTGCTGCGAGTCCATCTCGTTCGGCTCGGGCGCGCCTGCGCGGGGCGTAGGTGGAGTGTACGCAGGTCACCGCCCACTCGACAAAGATGGGTCGACCGGTGCTGGGGTCGTGTGTCCAGATGTCCAACCTTGCTTCCTGGAGGACCCCGGTGCGGGGATGGCGGCGATCCCACGCTGGAGCGTGTTGTTCCGTCGGAGCAGCATGACCCGTGATATCCTTATGCATGGATGCATGTCGGTCACGGAGGCGGTCGTGCCGGGCGGCGCGGGATTGGCCCACCTCGCATGACTTGGCATGGAAACCGTGTGGGTCGAGGGGCTCTCCGCATAGCGCGCCGTCTTGTCGTCGGCATTGGCAGCGCGACCCGGCGGGGCAGACTGGCGCTCGCAGCCGGCACATGAGGTTCACCTCGAAGTGGTCGTCTGGCTGCATGGCGTCTCCTGGTTGTTGAGGTTGGAGAAACGCCCCTGCGCCAACGCCGCCGCACTCCCGGAGCGCCAGCCGGTCGTTCTCAGGGAGCTCCCGCAGCAGTCTTTCTCGGTTTTTCCCGGAGGCTGCCTTGCTCCACACGCCCTGGAGCTTAGCGTGGGATTCCTGAGGACTGCGGGTCCAGTCGATGGGCTGTCCGTCTGTCGCCCCCGAGGCTTGTAGCGCTTGCTCAGCTTGGGCGAGCGCTTGGAGGGTCCGCGGGCACCGCGCCCGGAACCCCTCCAGCGTGCTCGGCACTTCGCCACGTCGTGGAGGCAGAGCGCCCAGCTCGCGGCGTAGGCTGCCGGTGCGGTCTGGGCAGCGATGGGAATGGCGCACCCTCCGTCTGCGAGGCGCATGGTGGCCTGCAGCCTCTGGCTGCCGGTGCGGTCTGGGCAGCGATGGGAATGGCGCACCCTCCGTCTGCGAGGCGCATGGTGGCCTGCAGCCTCTGGAGCTCGTCCAGGAGACTCCCGCGCAGGAGGTGTTCTAGGGCCGAAAACACCACCGCGTCGAGCTGTTCCACCCAGTTGCCCTGCAGATTGGCTCGCAGGTGGTGGATGACGCATCCTTGCGCGAAGGTCCGTAGTAGGGTGAGGTAGGCCTCGGCGGAGAGCCTAGCCTCTCGGAGGTCTCGGAGCCTCTCGGTGAAGGCCTGCGCCCGTTGCACTGCCGCGCCGTCTTCCCCTGCGCGAACCAAAACCCGATTCTCCTGTTGGTCGGGCCACGGCGCCGTGTTGCCCAAGCAGTTTAGGTGGTCGACTCTGTGTGCACGGACAGCGTCTGGGAGGTCACGTCGTCGTTGTGGTCGTCGTTGTTTTTGCTTGGCTCTTGTGGGCTTGCTGCACAAGCCAGGGCGCCGCCGGGGACCGCAGAGGGTCCGCGCAGGCCCCAGCGGGGAACTGGCCCCAGGAGAGTCCTACCGTGGGAATGGGGCTCTTCCCCTGGGGGGCTCGGGCTGCAGCTGGCGCCAGCCCCCTCCCTCGGAAGGGGCTGGGGGGCTGGCGGTCAGACGGCTGGAATGACCGTCTGGGGAGGCGGTGGGCCCTGCTGTCTGCTGTCGTCGTTTCCGCTGTCGCGTTGCCTGCAGCTGCTGCTGCTGCTGCTGCTGCTGCTGCTGCTGCTGCCGCTGCCGCCGCCGCCGCCGCCGCCGCCGCTGCTGCAGCTGCTGCTGCTGCTGCTGCTGCTATTGCTGCTGCTGCTGCTGCTGCTGCGCGTTGCTGGTCTGAGCTCAGGTAGTGCCCGTCGTTGCTGGGGATCGTGGTGCTGGTCGAAATTGGTGCTGGTCGTGGTCGTGGTGGTGCTGCTGGTCTCGGTCGCGGTGGTGGTGCTGGCCGCAGTCGTGCTGGTGGTCTTACTGGACGTGGTGGTGCTACTGCTGGTCGCTGTCGTGGCGCTGCTGGTTGCCGTCGTGGTGGTGCTGCTGGTCGCGGTCGTGGGGGTGCTGCTTCTGCTGGTCGCAGTCGTGGTCCTGCTGGTCGTCGTCGTGGTGTTGCTACTGGTCGCGGTCGTGGTGGTGGTGCTGGTCGCGGTGGTGGTACTGGTGCTACTGGTTGTGGTGCTGCTGCTGCTGGTCGCAGTCGTGGTGCTTCCGGTCGCAGTCGTGGCGGTGCTGCGGGTCGCAGTCGTGGTGGTGCAGTTAGTCGCGGTCGTGGTGGCGCCGCTGCTGGTCGCAATCGTGGCGTTGCTGGTCGCAGTCGTGGTGCTGCTGGTCGTGGTCGTGGTGGTGCTGTGGGTCGTAGTCGTGGCGCTGCTGATCGCAGCCGTTGTGCAAATGCTGGTCGTAGTCGTGGTGGTGGCTCTGCCGGTCGCAGTCGTGGTCCTGCTGGTCGCAATCGTGGCGCTGCTGGTCGTAGTCGTCGTGCTGCTGGTCGCCGTCGTGGTTGTGTAGCTGGTCGCGGTCGTGGTGGTGGTGCTGCTGGTCGTGGTGGTGCCGTTGCTGGTCGCGGTCGTGGTGGTGCTGGTCGCAGTCGTGGTGGTGCTGCTGGTTCCCGTCGTGGTGGCGCTGGTCGTGCTGGTTGCGCTGGTGGTGCTGGTGGTGGTGCTGCTGGTCGCATTCGCGGTGGTGTTGCTCCCGGTTGCCGTCGTGGTGATGTTGGTCGCAGTCGTGGCGCTGCTGGTCGTAGTCGTGGTGGTGCTGCGAGTCGCAGTCGTGGTGGTGGTGCTGCTGGTCGCACTCTTGGCGGTGCTGCTGCTGGTCGCCGTCGTGGTGTTGCTGGTCGCAGTCGTGGTGATACTGGTCCTGGTCGTGGTGGTGCTGCGGGTCGCAGTCCTGGTGCTGCTGGTCGCAGTCGTGGTGCTGCTGCTGGTGGCGGTCGTGGTGGTGCTGCTGCTGGTCGTGGTGGTGCTGCTGCTGGTCGCAGTCGTGGTGGTGCAAGTCGTAGTCGTGGTTGTGTTGCTGCTGATCGCAGTCGTGGTGGTGCTGGTTGTGCTGGTGGTGCTGGTTGTTCTGCTGGTCGTGGTGGTGCTGCTGCTAGTCGCAGTCGTGGTGGTGCTGCTGCTGGTCGCAATCGTGGTGCTGCTGGTCGTGGTCGCGGTGCTGCTGGTCGTGGTCGTGGTGGTGATGCGGGTTGCAATCGTGGCGGTGGTGCTGGGGGTGGTTCTGCTGCTTGTCGCAGTCGTGGCGCTACTGGTCGTGGTCGTGGTGCTGCTGGTCGCAGTCGTGTTGGTGTTGCTGGTCGCGGTCGTGGTGGTGTTGCTGCTGGTCGTGGTGGTGCTGCTGCTGCTCGCCGTCGTGGTGCTGGTGGTCGTAGTCGTGGTGGTGCTGCTGGTCGTCGTCGCTGTGGTGCTGGTTGAGCTGGCAGTGTTGGTGGTGCTGTTGATCGTGGTGGTGGTGCTGCTGGTCGCAGTCGTGGTGGTGCTGCTGCTGGTCGTAGTCGTAATGCTGCTGGTCGCGGTCGTGGCATGGCTGGTCGCAGTCGTGGTGGTGCTGCTGGTCGCGGTCGTGGTGATGGTGATGCTGGTCGTGGTGGTGCTGCTGCTTGTCGCAGTGGTGGTGGTGCTGGTCGTAGTCGTGGTGTTGCTGCTGGTCGCCGTCGTGGTAGTGCTGGTTGCGTTGGTGGTGCTGGTCGTGGTGGTGCTGCTGGTCGCAGTCTCGGAACTGCTGCTCCAGGTTGCGGTCGTGGTGCTGCTGGTCGCAGTCGTGGTACTGCTGGTCGTGGCCGTTGTCGTGGTGGTGCTGCGGGTCGCAATCGTGGTGGTGGTGCTGCTGGTCGCACTCGTGGCGGCGCTGTTGCTGGTCGCAATCATGGTGCTGTTGGTCGCGGTCGTGGCGCTGCTGGTCGCAGTCGTGGT